TATTGTATCAGTTAGTTCCTGTATTTCTTTCCTTATTTTGTATAGATGACCTGTTTAGTGGTGAATATGGGGTTTTGAAATCTTCAACAATTAGTGTATTGCTCTCAATCTCTCCCTTTAAATCTAGCAGTCTTTTCTTATACGTATTTGGGTGCCTAGAGTTGGATGTATAAATATTTATAATTATTATATTTTTCTTAATGAATTCATTCTTTTAGTACTATATAGTCATTTTAGTACAATAAGTATATAGTTCTACATGGAGTCCTTCATATTTCTCTTCATATGTTTTTATCATAAAACCAATTTTGTTTGATATTCGTGTCATCATGCAGATAGTCAGCTGATCAATAGTGTCTTGAGTTCCCATATATTGTCCTCATTTTTAATAATTATATTTCCATTCTTTTTGGTGTCTTGGGCTAGATCAGACACTTCAACTTCGAGGTAAGAGATTCTGTCATCTCTATGTCTAATCTACTGTTAGTACTTTCGAGGGGGTTTTAATTTTCCGTGTTTTATTCTTTATCTCCAGAAAATTGGTTTGATTCTTTCTTAAGGTGTCTGTCTCTTTATGGAATTCCTCCTTTAAGTCATGGAATAATTTTTTTTTCACCTCTGGGAATTGGTTGTTCATTTCCTCTTGCATCTCATTGTGTTTCGATGCAATAAATAGTCTTTAATTGTTCTTCTGAAATTTTTCTAATTTTTTTTGTGTTTTATCCATTGTTGGTGAGGAATTATTGTGGTTCTTCAAAGGAGTGATAATTCTTCATTTTTTTCTTATTTCTTGGGACTCCCTTTTGAATATTAGGCACCTGGTCATCACTTTTTCTTACATTTTTGGGATTGTTTCTGCTGCTATATACTTTTGCACTTCCTTAAGGTACCTGTTAGCCCTGAGTGAATTTCCTTATTCTCCTGTGAGTGAGTATGCTGGAATCCATGGTGGGAGTGTGGGGTTCAGATCGTCACAGGTAGCTTCTCTCCTTTATCTCTTCTATATGAGGGGGTAGATGGGGAACTCCTCCAGAGTCACATTATCTTCAAGGGATCAGTTTATCTCTCAAAGTCTCCAGCCCCAATGGAGCAGGAGACTGAGCTTCCTCTCTCCAATGAGATTTTCTCTCTTCAATAAGGCTTCCTCTCTCTAGAAGACTGGCTTTGGGTGGGGAGTGAACGATTCATAGACTGGGCTGCAGGCCCTCTCCTCCCTTGTTCTGTTGGTCAGGCAGTGGGGCTGAGAAGTCAGGGTCATGTCAGCCAGATGGAAACCAATTCTTTCCTCTCTCCCACAAGACTTCCTCACTCTGATAAGGCTTTCTGTCTCTGATGAGATTTTATGGGGCAAGGTGGTGAGTGATTCATGGGGCCAGGCTGCAGATTCCTTCCTGTCTTGCTCTGGCTAGTTGGAACTAAACTTTACTGTACTTAAATTTTCCCACAACCTTTTTGATGATCCCTCATATTTTTCCCAGGAGAATGAGAGGCAGAGAGAGAGAGAGTCCCAATAGGATCTTCATACCATAATTCATGCCTAGCTTCAGCCAGCCAGGATCACAGGCACCTGTGCACTGCCAAGAGTATACAGGGAGACCCTAGCATGTGAACCAGGGCTTCTCACATATCCTCAGAATCACAGAACATTGTATTACCAATGGGCCAATACAATTGGCTTATCTTTTAAAAGCTTTTTCAGCCCCTTTCACCTCCATTAATAGCCTACATTATTTGAGTTTCTTATGTAGGAAGAAATACACTTCTTGGTAGATATGAGAGTTTTTCTGAGCCTTTTTTCCTGATTCCCCAAGGATGATACAGGGTAGGACACGTAGATTCTAGTTAGTGTCTTTGTTGTACCAGGCACTCTTCTAAACACTGAGGGTTATCAATGAACAAAACAGACAATACTTCTGTCCTAATGAAGGTCACAGTCTATCCAGGGCAATATACAGTAAACATACAAAGAAATGAAGTACAATGTGAGTGGAAAGTGATGTAATTTTAAATAGAATTGTAAGGAAAACTCCATTATCAATATTACATTAAGCAAAAACCTCATGACGTGAAGAAATACGTGATAGAAATATGACTATAGGGAAGAGCTTCTGCTATAGATAGAATAGCAGGAATAAAGAACTTGAGGCAATGTGATAAACCTGGACTGCTCGAGATACAGCAAAATTTAACATAGCTGTAAAGGAACAAGCAAGAGGGACCAGCAGTTGATGTAATGGCTATGTCACTGGACTCCCATGTAGTCAACCGCAGTTCGAGTCCCGGACCCAGTGGCTTAAACTCACACCGGGCGCATGTGCGTGTGTGCCCAAGATCCCAAGAGGAGAATGGAGAAGAGATTATGGCGTGGCCATCCCCCCTTGGGGGTGATTTCTCGTTTTCTGTCTCTCTGTTCTCTCTGTCTGTCTGGCGAGCACACGCGCCATATAACAAAGACCTCAAAAAAAAAAAAAAAAAAAAAAAAAAAAAAAAGCAAGGAAAAGATTCCCCAAGGATGATACAGGGTAGGACACGTAGATTCTAGTTAGTGTCTTTGTTGTACCAGGCACTCTTCTAAACACTGAGGGTTATCAATGAACAAAACAGACAATACTTCTGTCCTAATGAAGGTCACAGTCTATCCAGGGCAATATACAGTAAACATACAAAGAAATGAAGTACAATGTGAGTGGAAAGTGATGTAATTTTAAATAGAATTGTAAGGAAAACTCCATTATCAATATTACATTAAGCAAAAACCTCATGACGTGAAGAAATACGTGATAGAAATATGACTATAGGGAAGAGCTTCTGCTATAGATAGAATAGCAGGAATAAAGAACTTGAGGCAATGTGATAAACCTGGACTGCTCGAGATACAGCAAAATTTAACATAGCTGTAAAGGAACAAGCAAGAGGGACCAGCAGTTGATGTAATGGCTATGTCACTGGACTCCCATGTAGTCAACCGCAGTTCGAGTCCCGGACCCAGTGGCTTAAACTCACACCGGGCGCATGTGCATGTGTGCCCAAGATCCCAAGAGGAGAATGGAGAAGAGATTATGGCGTGGCCATCCCCCCTTGGGGGTGATTTCTCGTTTTCTGTCTCTCTGTTCTCTCTGTCTGTCTGGCGAGCACACGCGCCATATAACAAAGACCTCAAAAAAAAAAAAAAAAAAAAAAAAAAGAACGAGCAAGGACAAGGGTAACATAAAATGAGACTAGAAGGTAGAAAGGAGAATTGGTTGGGGGAAAAGCTCAGAAGGTAGGACCTGTCTTTTAGGGCCTTGTAGATCATTGGAAAGACTAGATATATTACCATGAGTGAGATGAGAAGATACAGAGTGGCAGCATAATCTAATTTTCATTTTGAAAATATTTCTCAAGCTACTGTGTTGTGAAGAGACTATTAGAAAAACTAGAGCAGGGGCCAGCAGATGGCATAGCAGTTAAGTCTCTGTAATCCCACATAGCTGACCATGGTTCAAGTCTCAGGCCCAGTGTCTTAAAAAATCACACCAGGTGCGAGTGCATACATGCCCAGGTTCCCAGGAGAATAGAGGAGAAAGAATTGTAGGATGGCCATCCCCCTCAGTGGGTGATTTCTCACTTTCCTTCTCACTGTTTCTCTCTCTTCTCTCTCTCCCCCCAACACCTCCAGTGAACATACAAAACTTAAGGCAAAAAACACTAAAAAATAAAATAGACCAGAGCAGAGGATAAAGATGCATCAGGAGGCTATTGCAATAACTGAGGTTAGACGTGATGATGAAGACTATCGGTAATGTAGGAAGTAATGAGAAGAGGACTTAGGCTAAGAGAATATGGTAGGCTGGGTGAATAAACAATGAAAATGTATCTGTCACATTTCTGGAGACTGGTAGTCTTGTGTCAAGGGCCATCACGGTTGGGTTCTGGTGAGGTATCTCTTATTTATTCGTAGATGGCCATATTCTTGCTGTGTTCTCACATGGCAGAGAGAGAAAGAGAGGGAGAAAGGGGGAGAAAAAAGCTTTGTTATTTCTTTTTTCATAAGACCACTAATCCCATCATGAGGGCTCTCTCATGACCTAATTGCCTCTCAAAGGCCCTGTCTTTGGGGATTAGTTTCATTATATAAATTTAAGGGTGAGGGAGATAAACTGCTGTCCAAAACAGGCTAAGATTTTAATACTAAAGCCAAAAGGAATTTGTTCATGGGTATGAGTACGAGCTATGAGAGAAATCTATAAATTTTGATAAAATGAACTTAAAACATCTATAATTACACATCATTAGTGGAATATCAGTCATTTATTTTGATCATAGAATTTCCATTTGTCTTCTCAAAATCCCATTTTTCAACAATTTTCCTGGAAATGCGATCTTTGAGAATGTCCTACCACTTCCCTCAAAGTTAATTGATGCTATTTCCTTGGAATCGAAGAATAGCTTACCATCTTGGCTAAGAACATTGTTAAAATCTTTTAAGTCAGTTAATGATATTTTTTAAAATAGCAAGCATAGACCAGTCAGTGGTATGGTTACTTAGTGGCTGGATACCACTTGGCCAACTGTATAGTTTGAGTCTCAGACCTGGTGGCTTAAAACACATGTCAGCCACATGTGCATGTGTGCCCCAATTCCTGAAGGGCATCAGAAATGGAAGAAAAGAGATTGTGGCATAACCATTCTCTGTGGTAGGTACATTCTCACTTCTCTTTCTCTGTCTCTCGGCAAACACATGCACCCTATGCAAAGCTTTTAAAATAAATAAACAATAACTTTAACTTCACTGCTGTAATAATCTGATGTAACCAAGTTAGAAACCAATGCTTTTATCAATATAATGATAATAATATTAAAAGATACGGGAAAAATATGGGTATGCTCTTTATGAAAATAATTAAATTTTTAAGTGAAGAAGTAAAGTCATTTTAATTTCATGCACATATAAACATGTGCATATATCTCTTTTATTAACCATTTTCCCCTTTTCTTTCTTTTTTCTTTTTATTTTTTAGATGTTCTTGGCAGCCCTGACATTTGCAAATATTTCTAAGTCAATTGGTGGAGTCATTATGAAAAGTTCCATCATTCACATAGAAAGGAGATTTGAAATATCCTCTGCTCTTTCCGGTGTAATTGATGGAGGTTTTGAAATTGGTAACTTTTATTTCTATTTTAATGAACATACTCATAGAGGGTAAACAAACAAAAAACCTCTTTATACATTCTCTGTGCTAATAGTTCTCAATCAGGTTATGGTACTTTTATCCCTCAGGAGTAGTTCGGCAATATTGGGAGACATTTTGGTTGTGATAACTTGGGGTTGGAGGGAGAACATCACTGTTACATCCTGAGGGACATATATCTAAGACTGTCCATTTTTACGTTACTTCTGCTAGAGAAATGGATGTAGTTCTATCTGGAAGCTTAAAAGTCCCTTCACTTCAGAGTTTATTTTCTGATTCTTATATATTTTTTCTTCTTTATTTTCTTGTTCCTTTCCTTCTGAAACATATGCAGACTGAGTATACCTTAACTGAAATGCTTGGGACCAGAAGTGTGTTCGCTTTTGGATTCTGGGATATGTGTGTGTATAATGAGATATCTTTGAGATGAGACCCAAATTTAAACTCAAAATTCATTTTTTATATACCTTGTACACATAACTACAAAATAATTTCATATAGTATTTTTGTATTGCAACGTTTGAACTGCAACTTTTCATATGAAGTCAGTTGTGGAACCTTCCACTTGTGTCATGTTGACACTCAAAAAACATTTTGTATTCTGGAGCATTTTGAATATAGTTTTAGATTTAGGATGCTCAACCAGTATAAGATGAATGTTAACATTTCTGGTATTTTTCCCTTTATATTTTTTCTTTCTAAGCATCTCTTGTTCTTGATGTTCTACTAATCTCTGATGTCATCTTCTATCTCATGAAAATTCCAATTTGTAAATTTTAAAATAACATTTTAAATTTACAACAATATTTTATTGTTTCCTTATTATTTTTAGTTTGCCAGTTCTAATTTTATAAATGCCATATGCTTGCTTTTTTTTTTTTTTTTTTTTGAGAGGTTTTTGCTATAGGGCACATGTGCTCACGAGAAAGACAGAGAAAAAGAAAGCAAAAAGTCACCCTCCAGGGGTTTTAGCCATGCTGCAGTCCCTTCTCCTCCATTCTCCTCTCAGGATCTTGGGCATGAACGCACACATGCCCTACCTGAGTTTAAGCCACCAGGTCCTGGACTTGAACTGCAGTCGGCTACATGGGAGTTCAGTGACATAGCCATTGCACTAACTGCTGGTCTCTGAATGCCATATGCTTTTGTACCTTTAGCAATACTAACTGGAGTTTTTCATAGTTCTTGTTTTAGTTTAATCTTTATCTGATTTGTTCATGTGTTACTTAACTTACTGGCTCATTATAGTGCCATTCATGCTGACTTTTTCCATGAAGTGTTGAGTAATTCTTTGTTGTTGTCTATTTATTGTTATGCATGTAGCTCCAGAGGAATCAGAATTGATCGCTACTCTCCTCCCTTGAAATGTTCTTCTTTGCCTTTTTAATCTAAATAATTTACACTCAACGTTAAATTTCAAGTGGCTTCTCTTGTTGGAAACTATTCTATGCTCTCCCCCTTCCTGTTGTTTAATAGCATTTCTGTGCATTTACCTACTTTTCATTTTTCATTTTTTTTAAGAGGGCGTGTGCACTCACCTGAAAAAGATAAGGGAGGGAGAGAGAAAGAATACACCCCGCCCCATGAGGCATAGTCACACTACAATCTCTTCCCCTCCATTATCCATTCTATCAGGATGTGAGCTTGCACGTACACACACTTACAATGTTTTCAAGTTGCCTGGACCAGTATTTGAACTATGGTCAGCCATGTTGGATTTGGCTCCTTTAAACATTGATCTAAAGGGCTAGCCCCACTTACCTAGTTTCAACACTAGTATATATGTTTCTTAAGGACAGGAAGCATGATATATTATTTTTGTATATATCTGGTTCTGAACACCATGGTAGGTAAATAATATGAATTTAAAGAATGTTAGCAATGAATGAATAAATTCATGAATGAGTACTTTTCCCTTAGGTCAGGAAGACCTGTCTCCACTCCTATACAATCCAGTCTACTCCAAACTTCTCAGTAAAATTTTGCTTTGCTAATATTGCCAAGTAATTCACATTTTTTCTTTTATATTTAAAACCTATTCTACTCACTAGTACTATAAGGCTTGACAAAGAGTGGTTTAATATAGGTGAGTTTCACCTCAATCAAATTACATGGTCTTTGAAGGAAGGTAGCATGTCTTACGATCTATTTATAGTCATTCTGGGGCCTTTGATTCTACTGGACATAAAATAGGACTCAGTCAATATTTGCTGTAATAAGTTATATTGATATAATTGTGTTTTCTCTCTAGGAAATTTGCTTCTGATTGTATTTGTAAGTTACTTTGGGTCCAAACTACACAGGCCCAAGGTAATTGGAACTGGTTGTCTTGTGATGGGACTTGGATGCATTCTGACTGCTTTACCACATTTCTTCATGGGATAGTAAGTGTTAAACAGCGCTGTGCCATTAATTATCATTAACTTGTAAATTAGTACTATACTTTGTGTTTTCTTAAACCTCTTTTAAGCAGACAATCAACCTTTAGAGAAGAAAAACCTGCTAAGTATATATAGAAACTGAATACATTTTATAAGTAATAATTAATGTATTGCTTTATTCACCATGACTTTTATAGACTTTAAAATGAGAATACCCCTAAGTAAGATATATTGTTTTATTTCAAGGTAAAGAGTTGTTTATAATTTTTTAATATATCATGTGTACCTTATTTCTTTGCCTGTAAGATTTTTATTGCATTCTTTGAGACTTCACCACTCATTACACTGCATTATGGATTTCCCCTCCAGTCCCACTAAGGCTGTTCTTTCTAAGGTCACTGTGTAGTTATGGTTAGAGTCAGAGGCTCATAAGGAAAAAAAAATAGCAATGATGTAAATAAGATAGAAGGTTCTTTTTTTTTAATCTTTAAAAAAGAATTATTTAATTGTATTTATCATTATTGTTATTATTTTAATTTGATATAGGGCACACATGCTCATAAGAGTGACAAACAGAGAGAGAGAGAGAGAGAGAGGGCAAGTGAAAAAAGCAAGCTTCCATGTCCAGGACTCAAACCTCAGTCATCCATGTGGGAGTTCAGCATCTTAACCACCACACCACCTACTAGCCCAGAAACTCATTTTCATATATACACTAATATAACCAGTGTAAGGATGGCATGATCCTGCTTCTTTTAATCATATTGCTCTGCCTCACATGACTTTGACATCGTGGCCCAAATTGTGGCAATGTTGTTCCAGGCAACAAGACAGAAGAAAAGGAAGATAAAACAAAAAGTATGCAAGGGGTGAGACTTAAGATATACTTTCAGAAGCATAATGCTGCTATCAACTTCACATTAGCCAAGATTAGTTATATTTCACACAAAGAAATAAAGATAGTGGATAAGACAGACTTTATTCTAGGTTGCCATCTTCCCAAGATGAAAATTATAACTTTGATTACTACGGAAGAAGAAAAGAATGGGCATTGAAGGATAATGAGCACCTTCTGCCGGAGACACCAATTACGCATTGCCTAATCCAACAGTCATGCCTTTTGGTCACCATATGTATTAACTCCATTTCATTTTCCTACACTTGACATTCACAAGAACTTTATTCTTTGTGATACTCTTACTTTTTATTTTTATCACATTACAATATTTTTTCTTATTTTCTACTTCATCATTCCCATCCTTCTGCTTCTGACACCTTAATGTCACTTAAGCTCCTTCTTTGATATTTTTAGCTATTCATTCTACATAATTTGCATGGAGTCTATCCCATAAGGGCAACTATCACCTATATTCAGTGACTTTTTCTAATACGTGAGATCTATATAATCAGCCACTTTATAGATATCTCCAATTTAACATCTCACAAACATTTCCCACTCATATATTTAAAACTAAATTCCTCATCATGCAGCTCAAATGAGACCAGCTCAAATATTTCACATTTATTTTTTCAGAAATGGTTTCATTAGCCATAAAGGCACTCAAACCAAAGTCAAAGGCCTCATCCTAGACTTTTCTTTTACCCCCAACACATAACTGGTAATAACCATACCTTGCTGTTTCTACCTTCTCTATGTCAATGTTGGGCATCCCCATGTCTTTAGCTTCATTGATTTCATCATCTCTGGTCTGGACTTTATTGCCTCCAACTTCCATTCTAACTTATATTCTTTTTTTTTTCTTTCCTTTTTTTTTTTTTAGAGAGAGATTTTTGCTAGAGATCACGGGCTCTCACTGGAAAGACAGGGAGAAACAAAGAGACAGAAACCGAGAAATCACTCCCCAGGGGGGATGGCCACGCTGCAATCTCTTCTCCTCTATTCTCCTCTCGGGACTTTGGGCACACACGCACACACACCTGGCATAAGTTTTAAACCATCAGGTCTGGGACTTGAGCTATGGTTGACTACACAGGAGTCCAGAAATGTAACCATTCTGCTATCTACTGGTCCCTCTAAGTTATATTATGTAACTAAATATACAGCTCAAAACACAAACCAAACTATTCTATTACTGTTTAAAACTCCCAGTTTCCTAGAACAATTTTTCAAACTTTGATCCTTGACCACTAGTGGGTGAATAAATCAATCCTGATTATTAAGACTAACAAGTTTTTATAGGACAGAATAGAATAATATTCAGTGTAAGTGGAAACAAATACTATTCTGTGAAACTGTGGCTGGGCTGTACATTTGTGTGAGTGTATGTGTGTGTGTGTGTGTGTGTGTGTGTGTGTATTTGTGATTCTGATGCAAAACAAATTTCTTATTGTTGGTCATGTAAAAATTTAGTAAGTACCTGTTGTTTGTATTAGTAACCATGCTTATCTACATGCATGTTTTTTTATTAATTTGATTTCCAACTATCTTCCTAATTTTATTCTCTATAGCTACCCACAATTGAGGACTACATTCTAGATCTGCATTTTTCCAAAACTGCCATAAAATGTCATACGTTTGCATATGGTGTTTCTCTAGCCTTGAGTACTTGAATACTTTTCTTCTTTTTGTCTATTAAGCTTTTATCCGTATTTAAGATTCAGTTCACATGTCATCCTCACTGTGAAGTGTCCTCTAACCCACCCCACTCTCACCTCTAAGCAAAGCTGATCATCCCTTTTTCCCTGTGACAACTCAGGATCTTAAATTTTAAACTTAATATATCTTTTTATCATATATGTTTATTGTGGACCGTGTAAAATTCTCTGTTTACAAAAATTGTTTTAGTTTTAGTTCTTTGAAGCAGAGCATGCCTCAGCTATATTAGTCTGCCCTCGGCACTACAATGGCACCTCAGAATTTAGGGATATCAGCATTCATTTCTATCATAGTTCCACCTTGGTTTGTTTACTCCCTTATTAAATTGAACTGCATTAGAAGGTTTGGTTTTTTTGTTTATTTGTTTGTTTGTTTTGACAAGTTGGACAGTAGTGTGTGTGTCCATGAAAAAAAGATTAGACAGGTTGTTGGTAGAAAGTGTAGATGAACTGGCATATTTTATAGATTGATTAGGACAATAAGTCTCTAAAGTCTATTAAATACCATTGTAAATTTTCAGGAAATTTAGATTGTGATCATCTTTAAAGATAATTGGAAGGGATTAGTAGATACAGTTAAAAACAAACAAACAAAAAAAGAATGTAAAACCAGTATGTCTCATTATCATGACCAGAATATAAACACTCCTAGTAAGATAGCAAGATGATAACCCAACTTGCCTGGGGAGTATTAAATGAGCTTTCATAGTGGACACTTCCATTTCACTTCCACCATTACCCCTCTAAAATATAGACTGACAAAGAGTATTCCGAGAACTTGGAGAAAAGAGTGGTGCAAAAGAAAGGGCAAATTCCTCTGCGTTTCTGGAGACAGAGAAAATGTTCAGTCAATAAGCAAAATGTTCAATCTAGTGATGTTCTTATAGTTACAGGTATTCTAAAGAAACCAATGTTAATCCGTCAGAGAATTCAACATCAAGCTTTTCAACCTGTCTAACTAGTCAGACTTTACCTTTCAATACATCATCTGAGATATTAGTGAAAGGTAAGAAGTAACAATGACAGCTAAAAAGACCCTAAAAGTATAAATTTAATTGTATATGTAAATATGATTGTGATGTTCCTTAGCAAAATTGATTGAAAAACAAATGGGAAAAAAAATTTGCCCCTCACATACAATATATGTTATACATAAAGAGCTTTTAAAAGTAACTAAGAGGATGGTATAGTAGGAATTCTCAAAGAATATCTGCATTTAAAATAAAGAACCAGGAAGTGATATAGATATGTAAAAAAAAATGTAAAAAAGAGGTGGACAGACAAAGGAAAGATTTCACATTTTATTTCTTATTGGGAATATGTAGACTTGTAACATTGTGGAGGTTAATTTAAAAAATAAGTTAAAGAACAAAACTACACTTCCCAACCTAACATAGTAATTTTGCTTTCACTGATTAATCCTACGGAAATAAGTAGGAATGTGCACAAAGACATTTATAATTATATCTATGTTTCCCTGTGAAACATAATGAAAAACTGGAACTATTTTACGGTTAAAAGGGAGATTGATTAAATAAATTAGAAACTATTATTCAATATACTACCATACAGTCATTAAAATCCTAATACCAAATATTCCTTAACAATAAGGGAAAATTGTTAGAGCATAGTGTTCATTGTAAAAGCAGATTATACTATAAATTGAATAAGTTAAGTATACAATGTACATAAATAATACTATGCATATTGTATGTGCACTAAAAATGTAGAAGATACATGATAACAGTAGAAGTGGCTTTTTGGTTGTTTGTTTTAAGAATTATTTATTGGGACCGGCAGGTGTTGTGGTAGTTACAGACCCTGGATTCTCACATGGCCGACTGTGGTTCAAGTTCCAGACCTGGCAGCTTGCTTTCTCGCTTTCTCTCTCTCTGTCTCTCTCTGGTCAAATTTAAAAAATAATAATAGCAACAAGTGGAACTAACTAAATAAGTAATTCTAAAAATTGTATTTATTTAATTTTATTTATAATTATTATCCTCTTTTACTTTACTATAGGGCATGTGTGCTCAGCAGAGAGAGAGAGGTAAAGCGAGAAAGCAGGTCTCCAGGTCCAGGTCTCAAACCATGGTCAGTCATGTGGGAGTCCAGTGCCTTAATCAGCAAGGTACCTGCTAGCCCTCAGGAAGTCACTTCTGAGCCAATAGGTGGTGTGGAACTTAGGGCGTTGGACTTCCACGTGGCTAACTGCAGTTTTAGCTCTGGACCCAGCAGCTTGAAAATCATGGCAGGTTCATGGGCATGCGTGCCCACAATCCTGAGAGGAGAAGAGAGGATAAGGGACTGTGATGTGGCCATCCCCCCAGGGGGAGACTTCTCACTTTCCCTCTCTGTTGCTCTCTGGTGAGCACATACACACTCTGTGACAAATGCAAAAAAAAAAAAAAAAGGCTTTTGTGTGTAGAAAGATTACAGAGTATTTGTTTTCTTTGTGCTTTTCTGTATTATCAAACTTTGCAAAGTGAATGTAAATCACCTGTAATTAGGAAAATGCAGTAAATGTAAAATTGAATGATTAAGGTTTTAAAGTAGTTGAATATCTGAAAAGAATGTTAAATTTAATACTTAAAATGAAACACTCTCCTGTCTACACAGGTTGTGAAAAGGACTCTGGATCATACATGTGGATATATGTACTAATGGGTAATATGTTACGTGGCATAGGAGAAACCCCCATAATGCCACTGGGGATGGCTTATATTGATGATTTTGCTAAAGATGGACACTCCTCTTTTTATGCAGGTAATGTAGAGGAAATGTTACGTTGACAATTACTTTTCCTGGGTTTACACTTAAAATAAGCACATTACTAATTTCATTCTTTTACTTATTATAAAAATTGTTTGGAGAAATGCATTGTGTAATGTCACTTTATAAAACGTGTCAAATAACTGTGTTCTTGGCCTCTGATAAAATTCTCTCATAATATTTCCAGGTATTTTGGGTGCAGTATCAATGATTGGTATCATCTTTGCCTTTGTACTGGGATCTCTGTCCGCCAGGCTGTATGTGGATGTCGGATATGTAGATCTAAGTAAGTACAATCAGAACAAGGTAACATGACCGTGTCCTCAAGCACAGGTCAACCTTCTTTTAAATAATTGAATTCACTTTCCATAGTCTTTTGCATACCAATTTGCAGAAGTTGTAAACAGGAAAAAATGCATCAGTAATCAGAATAAAATTCTGGTCTCTTTTCTGGAAGGCTTTTCATACGGCAACATTTAGTAAGTGATTTGTAGACAAATGAATGGAGGACATACATAAATAACATCTGCAATCTCCCTGTCCTCTTCACTCTCAGAACATGCTTTCCTTCTGAATTCATAGAAGAAATAGAGGTCAGATTATAGAAATGGCCTCACCTTCAGCCCCTCCTTCCTACAATTATACATGCACAGGACCAGCTGGTGGGTTGGAGGCTAAGGTGGCTGGATAGCTTGTGGCCGATTGCCTAGTTCAAGTCCTGCATACAGCAGCTTGAAAAACACACCATGCATGTATGGATGTGTGCGCAAAATGCTGAAAAGAGAATAAAGGAATTGCAGCATGGTCACCCCCCTGGGAGATACTTCCTCACTTCCTCTTTTTCTCGCTTGTGAGTGAATGCACCCTATAGCAATTAAAAACAAAACAACTCAGTGGAAAAGGTATCCATCTTCAGCCAGTGTTACTATACTCTGATCGGCCAGTTCAAGTCTCAGACCCAGAAGCTTGAAAAACACCCTGTGCACATGTACATGTATGCCAGGGATCCTGAGAGGAGAATAGAGAATGGATTGTGGCATGGCCATCCCCCGGGAGGTGCTTTCTCATTTTCTCTCTCTCTGTCTCTGTCCAGGAAGTGCCTGTGCCTTATAGCAAATTTTTAAAGTAAATATAATTTTGCAAACTCCAGTGCTAAGAAGAGCAAAAAAATAGCAAAAACGAGTAAAGAGTGCGGTGGTTAGGCTGGGAAGAACTGGTGGCGACCCTCCTCCTCACGAACCTAAAAACATGTGTGCAACTCAGTCCTCGGTCTTTCTTTTTTCCCCCAGTTTGCCAGAGGGCATATGTGCTCATCAGAGAGAGATAGAGACAGAGAAAAAGAGAGGGAGAGAGGAAGAAAGCACCCCACACTGGAGTGTGATCATATGGCAATCACTTTCTCTTATATTTCTCCATCCTTTTGGGATTTTTTTTGGATATACACACACAAACCTGGTGGTTTTTTAGGCCGCCAGGGTCAGGATTCAAACCACATGTTTGGTCATATGGGAGTTGGATCCTTTAATCACTAGATATAGGGCCAGTCCTACCAATTTTCATTCAGAAATTTGGGCCCTGGGTTACAAGATCTTCTCTTTTTATTAAAAAAAAAAAAAAAAAGACAGAGACAGAGATACAGTGCTCCTGACAGAGTCCCAATGCCAATCTCCTTTCCCATCTTCAGCCAGTCCAGATTATAAGTGTGCATGTGTCAGACATACTCAGGGAGGTCTCCAGACTTGAACTAGCAACTTTGTAATGTACATCTGCCTTGCAGAGTGTCATGCTTTAACATGATGACTCTCTCTGGCCCTAGATTTTTAAGTGTTCCATATGGTTTTATTAGCCGTTGGCATAATGCTGTGCAGAATTCATTCATCCGGAATGCCCCAGAACTCATGCATCTTCCCTAACTGAATCTTTATTGACTAGCAACTCTCCATTTCCACTTCTCTTTGCCCCCAGCAACAACCATTCTGCTCAGCTTTTATAAGTTCAACTATTTTAGATACCCTATATTAATGTTATACCTTGGGGGCAGCAGATGGCATAGTGGCTATATCACTGGATTCCCATGTAGTTGACCACAGTTCGAGTCCTGGACCCAGTGGCTTAAACTCATGCCAGGCACGTGTGTGTGTGTGCCCAAGATCCTGAGGGGAGAATGAAGGAGAAGGGATTGTGGCATGACCATCCCTCCTGGAGGGTGATTTCTCACTTTCTGTCTCTCGGTCTCTTTTCGTCTTTCTAGCAAGCACACATGCCCTATAGCAAAAACTTCTAAAAAAAATAAATAAATAAATAAAATAAAAAGAGGTATACCTCATACAAATACAGTATTTGGCTTTCTGTGACTGGCTTATTTCATTCAGCATAATGATCTCAAGTTCATTTATGTTATTATTGTACTTATTGCAGGATTTTCTTCTTTTTTAAAGTTTAATAATATTGTATTTTATAAAGTTTAATAATAATGTATATACCTCATTTTCTTTATCCATGTATGTCCTGATGGGCATTAGATTGTTTCTACATCCAGGCTATTGTGAATAGTGCCTCAATGAATCCAGGAGTGCAAATATCTCTTTGAGATCCTGATTTTAATTTTTTTTTTCAGATATTAAAATTATTTTAATACTTTAATCTTGAAATTTGCTATCATACATACCCACCATCTCTTTATATTTCATAGGCCATATTTCAGAGATATTCAAAGTGAGATTAATTTGATGATGCATTCTCAGGAAATCTAGAATACTGTCCTTTAGTAAGTTATTTCCTACTCATTATTTTGTAGTATTTATTAACTAGTGCAATACAGCATTAAGGTATCATTTAGGAGGGAAATACCTATGATGTGGATTTGTCATACCAATTCCTTGGCACTCAAGGTGTCTTTTGAAGCTTCTTCTTCGTCTTCTAATTTCCTCACAGTAAATTTAGCCTCTGCTAGTTCTTCAGCAACATGTATAGTGGTTTGTTTGTGGAGGGTAACTGGTCCTGTTTTTATTCTGGAAACTCCATTGGCTAGTGCCATGAAAACAATCAGCTGGTCTTGCAGATACTCATCTACAGAACCACCATGTCTAAGATTTGCTAATAGCATTTCAGCAGCTTCAATTCCATTCCTGTCTGTCTTCACACCTAGTTTACTCAGCAATGACCCAGCAAGCAAATAGCCAGTGGATGTCTCAGCAGTAATCTTTATTCCATTTCCATTGCCAAATGCTTGGTCTTTAGGTTCTTGAACAGGCTGTATCCTAACAAAAAGATTCCTCATCTCCTTTCTGATGCATCTCACAGCTGCCGCCACCATGTCTTCTGCTGCTTTAAATGGCAAAACACCAGCAACAAATGCTCTTTCATATATCTTAGTCACAGAGCCATGGTCTTTTAGATTTATTAGTTCAATTGTTTAACTGGTGACATTCAGACAATCACTTCGCTGCCCCCTTTTGGATAATAGCCCCTCATTTTAATGTCACAATTAAATTTGAAACCAAATTTTTCAACAATTGGCTTGAAAAATATCGACCTTTGGGACCATTTCAGCATTAGTCCCACCTTTCAAACGAAGTTCAGATGGAGAAGCAGTAAAGAGAACCCAGGGCATTGAGACCTGCATCAAGTGGCATACGCTCCCTGCCATCTTGGGATCTGCTGGGTGGAGTCCACCTTTGATCTTCTCTGGTGTAAAGGTTATTTCTCTTGAGCTGGTTTCTGCTCCTTCCAGTTGCCCATCACATAAATCTCAAATCATTTCCAGTCCTGATCAGTGTTGAGGCCTGAGGCCTGGAGTGCTGTGGCTGGTCTAGATCTTCTGCACCCATAAGGGGAGGCCCAAGAGGCAGCTCAGGGCCATGGGCACCCTGAATATCTGGCCGCCCTGAATTTGGCATTTCTTCAAGGGGCACGTAAATCAAGGTTATATGTCCGTGACATATATCGCATATGCTGGGCAGCTGCATCTGACAACATTCTCAGTCAGGTCTTACTCCATGGTCTTACTCCAACACAACTTTCCCCAGATAAGTAACCTCCTTTTTTTAGATTCCCTTAACACCACGATTTCTCCCATGATATGAGCTAAATGTAATAGTTCATTGTTGGTGCACACAGCAGTGCTTTGCCCAGCTCTGTCCTTATTTTTTTATATATATACCCAGAAGTGAGACTAGTAGGTCATATGGTAGTTCTGTGTTTCAGAGTTTTAGTAAATTTTATACTGTTTTTCGTAGTGGCTACCCTATTTTGCACTCCACCAGCAGCATGCCAGGATTCTAATATAGCCACATTCTTAACCAATGTTTATTCTCCTTTCTTTCTTTTTGTAGTTTTTGTTTCTTTATCGAGTGGGGAGGGGCAGGTAAAGAGAGGGTGTCTTTGACAGAGACCCATTATGCTGTGATCCCTTCACCCCTTTACAATGAGGACTCTGGGTATGCACCTAGTAGGTTTAAGTCAACCTGGGATCTGAACCTGAGGCTTCCCATATGGCTCCAATATTGTGCTGAAGTGTTCCACCATGGGCACCACTGAAGCTAGACTTTTTTTTTTTTAATAGACATTATATCAGGTACAAGATGATACCATATTGTGCTTTTGATTTATATTTCCTTGATAATAAATGACATTGAACATCTTTTCTTCTGTTCACTTGTATGTCTTCTTCGGAAAATTTTCTATTCTGGTCTTTAACCAATTTTTTAAAAGGTTTTTGCCATAGGGTATGTGTGCTCAATGGAGAGAGACAGACAGATACAGTGAAACAGGAAAGCGAGTTCTCTGTTAGTGTGTAGAAACTACTTAGTTTTGTATGTTGGTTTTTGTATTCTGTAATTTTATTCAATGATAACAGTTTGTATGTGAGTGTGTGTGGAGTCTTTAGAGGTTTTTATGTATATAGTCATGTCATCGGCAAATGGAAAATTTTACTTCTTTTATTCCATCTTGGATCTGTTTTATTTGTCTTGCTTAATTGCTCTTTCAAAGACTTCTATGTCTATCTGTCTATCTTTGTTCCTAATATTAATAGAAAGGTCTCAGTTTACACCCTTGAATTTGATGTTAGCCATGGGCTTTTCACATATAACTTTTATTATGTTGAGCTAATTTCCCTTTATTCCTTGCTTGTTGAGAATTTTTCATCTAAGAGTGTTGATGTTTAGCAAAAGCTTTTCTGAATCTACTGGTTCTTGTCCTTTATTTAATTAATTTGATATGTTACCAATTGATTTTTCTATGTTGAGTTATCATTACATTCCTGGTATAAATCCCACTTGGCTGTGATATAATATTCATTTAATGGGCTGTTTGATTTAGGTTGTTAGAATTTTGTTAAGGATTTTTTGCATTGCATGTTGTGGAGCAGCTGCTTATTACTCCATGCCCTTTTGCTGGTAAAGATTCTGCTGGGGAAAAAAAAAAGTATGATAATCTTATATGGTTTCCGTGTATATAATAACTTGCTTTATTCTTGTTGCATTTAAAGTTCCTTTTCTTTGAGTTTTAACAATTTTATTATAATGTATCTCAGTGTAAGTATTGTCCTCCAGGTTTTGGAAGTTTTAAGCCATTATTTCATTGAATAAGCTTTCTGGTTCTCCTCCCCTCTTCTCTTTCTGAAAATTCCATAATGTGCATATTGGTCCTCTTGATGGTAGTCCATGAGCCCTTTAAGCCTTCTTCACTCTTTTCATCCTTTTTTGTTTTAGCTCCTCCTGACTGGATAATTTCAAATGACCTGTCTTCATACTTCCTCATTCTTTCTTCTACTTGATCTAGTCTGTTATTGTACCTTAGTATTGAATTTTTTTCACTTTAGCTGTTCTTCAGTTGTATATTCTTTAGCTCTAACATTTTGTTTCATTCTTTTTAAAATTTTCTCTTTGTTGAAATTCTCCCTTTGTTCCCACATTGTTTTCCTGAGCTTGTTAAACATTTTCATGATGGTTATTTTGAATTCTCTGTCATGTGATTCATATATCTCCATTTTCTTTTTTTCTTTAAGAGGTTTTTGCTATAGGGCACACACGTGTGCTCGCCAGAGAGACAGAGAGAGACAGAGAGACAGAAAGCGAGAACTCACTCCCCCAGGGGGGATGGCCACGCTGCAATCCCTTCTCCTCCATTCTCCTCTCGGGATCTTGGGCACGCATGCACGTGCACCCAGCGTGAGTTTAAGCCACTGGGTCCAGGACACGAAATGCGTTCAACTACTTGGGAATCCAGCGACATAGCCATTACGCTAACTGCTGGTCCCTCTCCATTTTCTTTTTGAGAGAGGTTTTTGCTATAGGGTGCATGCACTCTTCAGAAATAGAGAGAAAGAGAGAGAGAGAGAAAGAGAGAAATCAGTCCCTGGGGTTATGGTCATTCCACAATCCCCTCTCCTCCAGTCTCCTTTTGGGATTTTGAACATGCACCTGGTATGAGTGTCAAGCTGCCAGGGCCAGGACTCAAACTGCAGTTTATCATGTGGGAGTCTAGCACTTCAACCACTATGACACCTGCCAGCCCCCCCATATATCTCCATTTTATTGAGATTAAGTTCTTGGATTTTTATCTTATTTCTTCTTTTTGGATCTTGTTTCCCAATTTCTCATTTTCCTTAATATTGTTAGTATCTGTGTATTAGAAAAAAAAAAATCACCACCTCTCTGAGTCTTCACAGGTGAGCCATGAAAATATAAAATTTTCACCAATTCATTCTGCCAGAAATTCCATTAATCTTTCAAACCATGCTTGTTTAAACTAATACCTTGGTTTTTAGAAGCCCTTTCTAATCAAGAATATACAGAATCTCATAAGATAGGTTGAGACAGAAGCAAGTCCATTGGTCAACTTCTAGATAAGTTTGAAAATCTGTGACACTGTCCAATATTTTCCCTCCCCAGAGAAAATATGGAAGATGGAGTTTTTCACCTGCCCGGTCTGCATGACATAGCAGGGGCAAGAAGGAGCTGTGGCTAGTGCCTGAACACCAGTTCAAACCTCTGTCTTTGTTCCTTACAGCCCTCAGGGATCTCACGTATGCCTGGTCTGGTCACAGGAGAGACAAAAGTCAGAAAAGCTAAAATGTTAGGTTTGTTTTACAAATCTTTTCTTTCCTATGGAGAAGCAGGGAGCTAGGTTTCTTTTGTTTTTGTTTTGTTTGTTCACTCTGCACTCAGCCATGGGAAGAAGCTGTAGTAAGTGTCCACACAGTTGAAGTTGTCACCTTGTTCTTAGTAATTCCAGCAGTCTAGCATATTCCAGGGCCTATCTGCACTGTTATATAGATGAGACAGAAGCCAGTCCCCTAAGTAGCACTTGAAAAGTTGAAATGTCAGATGTGCAGTCAACTTTTTCCCTGTCATGGGGAAAGCTAGAAATTTTTTTCTCTCTCTCACTCTGTGTTGAGCCAAGGCAAAGAGCTGTGGCAAGTGTCTATACACTAATTCAAACTGCTCATTCTTCCCAATCATATGGCATATACTGAGGTGAAGATTATGGCAAGAGGGTGTCTACAATTTTCCTACTGGTTTCCATGTGGCTGGACTGGCACTTACCCAGGAGACTCTGAGTGAATAGCTGTATTTTTCATGAATGGAAATGATCTGTGTATTGTTATTGAATCGATGTGTTGTTGGAAAAAGGAGCACTTAGGACTCTCATTCTGCTATACTGCTGATACTTTACATATACTTATTACTTGGACCAAAATGATTCATTTGCACTTGAGATTTACATGTTGCTCTTATGCATGCTCTTAGAAAATTATTTCTGAAGCAAAATGAATGATCCCTAACATTTAGAGTCCAATTCTTCTGGGTTATCATTTTGTTTTCTTTTTATATTGAATATTACATCTTCTGAATTACTTTAAATCCTGAGTTTTGTTGTGTGTATTTGTTTCCATCAATATTGTCCTCTATGTTCTCAGGGGAGTTGGTAATACATATTTCTGCCAGAGGGGGCAAGCCTGACTCTTGGCTCTAGAAATTTCTTGCAAACTCTTTCAGTTTCATTGCTGGTACTTTTTTGATAGCAGATGTTGTCAAAAAAAAAAAAAGCTTTCAAATAACAATGAGAATTCATATTTCTTTCAAAAATAGTTTGCTGACTTAAATGTCCAATCATGGCAGTCACCTAGTCTGTCATCAGAAAAGCCACCAAGTTCACACAAGCTCAGAAAATGAAATAAGTCATGACTGATTCTCAGACAACAGCAATAATGTCATCAACTGTTAAACTTTACCTGGTTTGAGAGATGATAAAATAAAAAAAAAATAGGAGAAAACGTGTCTTAGAATTGATTAAACACAGTTTACTTTCTTTATATGTGGATGACAGCAATAATTATCATTATTGTTCATATCCTATTGTATTTCAAAATGATTTTTGACTAGCTTCTTCTAATTATTTATTCTAGGCAGTATCACAATAACTCCTAAGGACTCTCGTTGGGTTGGCGCTTGGTGGCTTGGTTTACTTGTGTCTGGACTATTATGCATTATTTCTTCTGTACCATTTTTTTTCCTGCCCAAAAGTCTGAATACATCACAGGAAAAAAGGAAAGTTTCAATATCTTTGCATGTGCTCAAAACAAATGGCGAAAGTAATCAAACAGAAAACTTGACTAACGATGGACAAAATGTTACCAAAAGTGACACTGGTAAGTATTTGACTTTTACCATCAACTTGGAATTGCTAGTTCCAAGGAAAGGGAAAAGTGGTATTCCAGAAGAATAAACCATACTCACATCATCTGCAGTTAGCTTTCTTCTGCACTAAATTTAGCTGAACTATTTTTCTAAAATTGAGATTAAAATCAATAAATATTTCCTAGGCACATACACTAAAAAGTACTAGATGCGTATCTTTAACAAGAAGAAATCAACAAAATGCTAAAGACATACGTCCCTTATAGACCAAAAAGTATACATTAATTTAAAATTATATGTAAAATCTCAAAGTTAAAATGGCTGTAATCTTTTATTCATTCATTTATTCGCTGATTTGACAAATGCCACTAGGCACCATATTACGCCATTGTGGTAAAACCTTACCTCTCCTTTCCAAGAATTCACAGCCCGGTGGGTAATACTGAGAAGTGTATAGACAATGGCAATAAAATGCATCACGTCCAGTGATAAGGTTAAACGAAACTATTCTCAGGTTAAGAGATGGAGTAAGAAGTCAGGAGAGGTTTCTCTCCAGGTAATTAAAGTAAGATTAGTTTTCCTAGTAATTGTATAGAAAAACAAATATTGCTTACCTTGGGCCAGCCTGTATCCTAATGGTTAAAGAAACCTGATCCCATATGCCAGACAGCAGTTTGAATCCCAGCCCTGGCAGCTTGAAAAACACACTGGGTGTATGTGCATCCATGCCCAAAATCTCAACAGGATGGAGAAATGAAGAAAGAATTGTGGTGTGACTATGCCCCTTTAGAAGGTGCTTTCTCCCTCTCTTTCTCTCTGTCTCTGACAAGTGCCTATACTCTCTGGCAATTTTATATATATATACACATATATAGTCTATCTAAATGTTCAAAAGGAGAAAGCAATAGAAGTTAATATAACTGGAGTTAATAATGTAGAATTCACATTGGATGATACCTTCTTTTTCAAATATAGGCCCTAGGAGCTTGTGAAGAACTACTGAGAAGCAAAAATCAGTCCAGTAGTAGCCAGGCAAGATAGTTGAAACAATGAAGGTTTTTTTTTTTTTTTTTTTTTTTTTTTTTTGGGAGTTTTTCTCTGTTGGGGGCATGGGGTCCCCCAGAGAGACATAGAGACAGAAAGCGAGAAATCACCCCCAGGGGGGATGGTCACGCCGCAATCCCCTCTCCTCCATTCTCCTCTCGGGATCTTGGGCACGCCGGCACCCGCACCCGGCATGAGTTTTAAGCCACCGGGTCCAGGACACGAACCGCAGTCGACTACGTGGGAATCCAGCGACATAGCCATTACGCTAACTGCTGGTTCCCAAACAATGAAGTTTTGACAGTAGTTTTTTACCAGAGGGAAGTAGTGAAATAGTAAAGACAAAGCAGTACAAATGCCTAAACTCTTAGCAACATTTTCAAGTTGTCATTGAAATGAAATTATAAATTCTCAGGTATATATTAGTTCTTTCATTTACCCATTTTAATGTTAATTTTTTCTCCCAACCTCCTCTCTAACCAGAGAACAATGATGTCCTAAAGCCAACCCATACTGGCTCCCAAGAGAGGACTGTTAAGTTTTTTGTTTATTGAGATTTTTTTTTTTTTGAGAGATTTTTGCTATAGGGTGCATGCATTCGCCAGGAATAGAGAGAGAGACAGAGATACAGAAAGTGAGAAATCACTCCTCCCCTCCCGCCTGTGGGGGGAATGCCACACCACAATTTCTTCTCCATTTTCTTCTCAGGATCTTGGGCATTCACACACACTCCCAGTGTGAGTTTAAACCACTGGGTCTGGGACACAAACCATGGTAAACTACATGGGAGTCCAGTGACATAGCCATTTCGCCAACTGCTGGTCCCAGGACTGTTCAGCTTTGAGATACATTGGTAGCTTGAAACGGACCGCGGGAGGAGAATTTAGCATCACTTATTACCATAAAGTGGGAAATACTATAAATCAGGGTTTATTTTCCCAGTCAGTTGTCGAACATTTACCAGCACACCCCTGTGTTAGATTTTTGAAACTTAACATGTACACTAAAAACAGCAGAAGACATGTACATCTTGCAGTGTTATGTTTCTATTCTACCAAATAAAAATTATCAAAGTTAATTGATTTTGTAAAGCTAGAAGAACCAGCATTGTGTGCAAGAAACAAGAAAGTTGAGAGGATAATCAAGATGCAAAAACGGGACAATTATAAACACCATATGTATTATCAACTGTGTTGCAGGATAGTGACCTGAATAGTAAGGAGTACATTAATTATGAGATTATTAGGAATTAATGAAATAACTAAGAACAAGTAGTCAGAAGAAAAGTATTGGACTTAGTCTATATGCTCTTGAGTAGCAGTAAAATTAGTTGGTTAGAAAGAAAAAAGATTTCGGGAACCAGCAGTTAGCGTAATGGCTATGTCGCTGGACTCCCACGTGGTCGACCGCGGTTCGTGTCCCGG